GGACGGTCTCCCTTGGTTTTTTCTCTTTTTGGTCCACCATGGTGCCAACTGAGCTGCTTCCACCATGGTGGGCGGACACCTCCAAAACCATGAGCTGAAGAAAATCCTTCCTCCTTATAAGTCATTCTGTCGGGGAATTTGTCAGGTGCACACTGACACCAACAGAGTTCTCCTCCAGGGCCAAAGATGCAAACAGGCCCGTGACTCCATCTCCAGCCACCCTTAAAAACATTATTTATGGGTAATGTGTGGGAGCAGACACGTGAGTGTGTAAGTGAGTCTGCACATTTATGGGAGCTGGAGGTCGCTGTTGGGTGTCTTCCTGTAGTGCTCTCTGCCTTATTTTTAAAAAATAGATCTATACACACATACATATAACATACGTGTATCATATACACTTGACATATAAACACATATACATTCATATAGACATGCACACACACATATATACACATACTCTCATATATGTCTATATACATACACACACATACATGTGTACATATATTCGTTTATTCACTTCATGTGCTTAAATGTTTGGCCTGCATGTATGCACATAATGAGTGTGCCTTGTGCCTGAGGAGGTCAGAAGAAGGCATCGGATCCCCCAGAACTGGACTGACGGGTGAGTGTGAGCCACCACGTGGGGGCTGGGGGTCAGTCAAATCCAGGTCCACTGGAAGAGCAGTCAGTGATCTTAATTAACCACAGAGCCATCTCTTCAGCTCCCAGTTCAATTGGTGAAGGAAAAAGCTTGCATCTACGCCAGAGCATGCCCAACCGCAGCAAGGCAGGGATGCCAGGGAGAAGGGGCAACAGAAGAAGAAAGAGAGCGTTCCATGTGCTCAGGGTCGCTTAAGAGCCCATGGCGCGTCATTCTCACCTTGACCAGGCCTTAGGAGGCGAGGTTACGGTGTCTCCCTACACATTTTTATAATTTATTTATTTAGTTTTGTTTTATGGGGATGAGTATTTTGCCTGTATGTAAGTATGTACACACTGCGTGTGCGGTGCCCCCCAGGAGGCAAGAAGAGGGCATCAGATCCCCTGGAACTGGGGATATGGATGGGTGCTGAGAACTAAACCTAGATCTGCTGAAAATACAGCAAGTGTTCTTTGTTGGTATTTAGGCAATTGCCATGGCAGCAGCTGAGGGCATATCCCGTCAGAACCCCAAAGGCAGGCCAGTACAAATGCCTAAATATTAACACTCTTATTTGTTTGTTTGTTTATTTATTTCTTATGTATACAACATTCTGCTTCCATGTCTATCTGCACACCAGAAGAGGGCACCAGATCTCATTACAGATGGTTGTGAGCCACCATGTGGTTGCTGGGAATTGAACTCAGAACCTCTGGAAGAGTAGTCAGTGCTCTTAACCTCTCCAGCCCCCTACTAACACTCTTAACTGCTGAACAATCTCTAGAGATTTACTTAAATTTTAAAGTGTTAGTGCATGCATGTGTCTACAGGGGCCAGAAGAGGGCGCTGGATCCCCTGGAGCAGAAGATACAGGCAGTGGTGCTGGGAACTGAACTCAGGTCCTCCACTGTCTCCCTGGCTCCTCTGTCTTTCTTTTTTTTTTTTGGCCGGGGATGGGGGTGGGGGGACAGCGTCTCACTGAGCTTGGAGCCACTGCTTCAGCTAGGCTGGCTAGCCGGCAAGCCTGTCTCTTCCCCCAGGCCCAGGTTACAGCTGTGCGGCTGGGAAGATGGTTCAGGAGTAACCAAACCACACTTGCTGTACAAGCATGAAGACCTGAGTTTGGATCTCCAGCATCCGCACAAAAGCTGGCTATGGGGTGTGTGTGTGTGTGTGTGTGTGTGTGTGTGTGTGTGTGTGTGAC